GAGTCATATAAGGAGTGGTGTTCTTAAAAGAGTAGAATCTACACTAACTTTACCAACCCACCTCTAAATCCAACTCACTGTGTAAACCCTAAAACCATTCAACCTAATATCCCCTTCCCCTCTATATCCTAAACTAATATTCAATAAACATTATATAACACAAATAATACCACACATCTCCTTATAAAACCATTATTTCATTCCATCAATACACTAACCTTATACAAATTCACTCTATTAATCCCCACCCCTCCAAACCCAAACACCCTATCCACCCTATCCCCACCACCTAAAATCACCCCACCCTCGCTCGCTCATCGCCTCACCACTCTATTTTTATTTATAGAGTAGAGATACTCCACCAACTGTTGTCACACCCAAATTTTCCTTACTTCATATTCAATCTCCCTACTTTCACTAGCTCCCCTCTCACCCGCTCACCCAACATATCATATAAATACACACCATACTATACTATGCTCTATATGCTATATACACATGTATTTATTTTAATTATATCCGCGCAGATCCACCCACTCGCGCTCTCTCGCACTCTCCACGACTCACTGGCTTTATTTGTCTTGAGGTATACTTACCATCCTAAGTTTATTGCCACATGTAACACAAACCGTGAACGCTGCAAATGCTTCAGTAAACACTATCGATTCTAGAGCTACAAGAGCAGCATACGCGAGAGCAGAGTCACTCTCTCTCAAGAGCTTTTTTAGAGAGAGTATTTTAGTGTGAGTTTATACAGTGGTGTTATGTTTGGTGTCGCTCTCAGTCCGCGCGACTCGCTCTCCGCGCGCCTCGATGCAGTAGAGCCAGGTGATCTGAAATGTACTCACGTTACTGTTTGTGTCGCGCCGCGCACGCGCCGCATCTATCTCTCAGCGAGCTGAGACACACGGGTTGTGGGGGTGTTATACTTGTCGATGGTTGGGTGGGTGAGCCTGTGCGGTTGTGTTTGGATTAATAGGGCGTGTAACTCGTTGTGGGTTGGGGGTTGTGTGGGGATGTTCCAGGACGTGTGAGAGAGGAGAGCGATTGGTTTTGCTCTCTCGCGCTCGCCACACTCGCGCGCTCGGCTGGGCTGGTTGGGGCGGTGTGGGGATGTGTGTAGAGAGATCGAGAGATAGAGTAGAGAGAGAGAGAGAGGCGTCGCTCACGCCGGCTCGGCAGCGCGCAAAAAGGTTTCACTCTACCATCGCTACATAACGCTACAGCTAAATTTTGTACTTAGTTTTCATGTACTCTAGGCCTCACCCTCATTACTTGGATAAGTTCAATAACCCTATTTTATTTCATCTGCAATGTGGGCGGACCGCAGGCTATTCATCTGGTTTTGCCCCATCGCTGCAACGTAAAAGTTCATACAGACAGACGTTTCTACGTTTTATCGGATTATTTCTAACAAAATGTTTCCGTAACTGCGAGGGCTCTTTTGAAGTGCTGTCCTTATCGTGAATGAATTTCATGATAAGTGTTTCGCAACCATCCTCCGCTGAACTGCCTCATCTCTGTTTTAGGAAGTAGTTACCATACTTTAACAGTACTATCCACCCACCTAGGTGACAACCAATGCCTTTGCTGCGTCCCTTATTCAAAACATTTGTTCGGATCCCCGCTTGCCAGCTTAAAATGTTCGCATTGTGTTCGCATATTTCGCCTCCAGTTGCTCATCGCTTCGTGTATCTGTTGCTCATTCTCTGTGGGTCGCAACTGTCTCGCGACGCGTAATCAGCCCATTGGTCATATGGCCAGGCGCAATCAATCTGTTGCGTATGTGCTATCCGTAGAATAAACCATAACTTCTGTACAATCACGATCCGTATGATGCCCAACTCGTGGCGATAGCTGGATCCGAAGTAGCGAGAAGGATATTCGGCTTCTTTAATTTCTTTCCACACCCGATAAAATATCGTTGTCGATGCAATAGCCACAAAATATACGCCCGGATGCACCTTATAGTATGTTCAGGATGTGGTATCCAGCTATACAGCTGCGGATTCAGTCCGCACTGACACTTCATAATCATTTTTCACCGTTCGGATCCTGCTCAAGAAATCGCGATCCTCAGTCTGAATTTTGCTAGTAAATCTACAGCTGATCCCCAAGCACAAGTGCAATACAAAGGAACATGGAAAATATTGTGACGATGTCCCTTATACCTTGCAATTTACAAAATACACATTTATGTACTAATGAATTTATTTCTGCTAGCGTGTTGTTCCACTTCAATATCGTCACCTACAATCTATACTGATTAATCTAATGCTTGCTTCCTACTTCAGATGTATAGCATCGGCGAATTTAAGGACAATTGAGCGGGCACTGTGTGCAGTACTCTGTGGTTGACGAAACCAGTTGTGATGGGGGCGAGTCGGCTCACAGCGGTTAGCTTCGTTGCGCACCCATTGCCTACCGGCATCTTTCTATGCAGTTGTCTACAACGTATGTGTTTACAAATCCACGGGTACACTATGTTCTCCGTTACAGACTACCATAAACTCGCAAAGCAGCTGGAAGCGGAGCTCAAAACCAAACTTGTGCTTCCTTCAATCAAGACAAGGGATCCCATGAGCAGGAGCGGAAGAACATAACTATAATGTTCCCAAGACGGTTTCCGGGATTTGAATCGCCGTCGAAAGCAAACAAGTCCGTGCTAAGTTACTTTCTTGAAATGGACAACTCGCCTTCTCCGCCAAAGTTGTAGATGGCTGAGGAATCATTGTCTCCTATACTGAAGGAAAAGATTGAACCTCCCTTTCACGCGACGATTTACATGTATTTCTGTTATGATCTAAAGATTCATGTGCTCGATTTGAGCTTCCATCTCGAGCGTAGCAGCGGTTCCTGGAAGGGGCGCAGTTCACGTTGCACAATGTGAGATATCAGGTACGCTAATCAGAAAGTGCCAATAATGTGACTGCAGCCAATTTAGCGCAATAATACTCGGAAGTTAATACGGCACAATAGCCTATAGCTCTTCGGTAGCCGGCAACCTTCGTCCGAAGACATTGAAGGCTATGGTGACTATGCTAGCCGATCCTCTGTAGCGATTCCTTTAAAAATGTCTCGATGAACCAAAAGTTCTGACTGCGTAGAAACAAGATATCACCACTACAATTGTTAAGTTGGCAGCTGTTCAGATCTTGCAAATTATCGTCTAGTGACTCACCTCCCAGTGCTTACTAAGTTCATAGGAGCCGTTGCCGTTGCAAGCTGCAAAAATGCAACGTCTTTGCACCGGAACAGCACGGATTCTTTCAACACCGGTCATGTACCACCAATGTGTCGATGGCGCGCGGTAGTTGGACGGCATCGGGAAATGGTGCTGTCAGAGACGATGCTACCTATCTGGAATTTTTCAAAGCTTTCTACCGCATAGATTACCGCATCTTAGTTTACAGGCTATTAAGCAGTGGAATCGTGGATCCTGTTCTTGGGTGCATTTATAGCTTTATTCACCAACGGAAGCTTAAAGTGCGTGTTCGGAGGTCACCCTCTAAGCCGTTTGAAATGGAATGAGGCGTTCCACAGGTCTCGGTGCCGGGACCGCACTTATTCCCAGTATTTGTCAGCAACTTGGCAAGAGTTGTTTTCCTTAAGTTCCTGCTATTTATGTATGATGTTCATATATTCAACCGCTTACTAACAATAAAGATCACGATTTCCTCCAACTTGATCTATATTGCCTTCACGGGCGATCAACGAGAAACCTACTCCAGCTGAACCCGACTATGTGTAAGGTGACTGACGTGCGTCGTCAGTGGTGAACGTGGGCCAGCTCAGAGAACACACTTTGCGAGGGCCTCTCAAAAATGTGAGATGAATATAGTGGTCCAGGAGGATCTCCGGTGCTCGAAACATTCGGTGGAGTCTGTAGCGCCCAAAAAGATAACTCTTATCTTTCATGTACAATTTAATTGTTGACCGATTGTACATTACTCCTTCTTGTTTTAGTCTTACAACCGGATCGACACACAACTGCCTTGTAAGTTTCCGCGCTCACGTGTACGCTTTCGTCTCGCTTCAGCCGTCCGTTTCTTGGTGTAGCCCATCGAATACAGTCCGCTGTGTCCGACTCCAATTGCCTTCTGATATCCGCGCTTAATTCCGCGCATCGTCTCTGACTAGTATTAACTAGTCCTACAAGTCGAGAACCGGTAATCAACACTTCTAACTATTTCGCAGAGCGTTCGGTTAGTTTAACCTCTGCAACGGCAACGTAGAATACACCATCCAGGCGTGGCACCCGTGGCAAAAGCAAGCTGTTGCTACTTTCGAGACTTTCTACGAAGGATATCCAAAGACTTCAGAAGCTTTGTCCATTTGCTTTAAAAGCCTAGACTTAATTCCCTCGGAATATCGGCTCTTGCGAGAAAACCTCGTAATGGTTTACCAGATCCTGAACAATCCTGACCGCATTTGCGGCCCGCTACAGGAACTGAAGTATTACGCCTACTCCAATGTTCAGTATTTAAAGCTGACCATACACTGTAGTTGCTTGGAATTGCTTCGAAATTTCTTCCTTCGAATGTGTGAGCTGTGGGACGCGCTCCCAACTTATGTGGTCGCGGCCCCCAACCTAAGTATATGTAAAAAGCGACTTGACGAAATAAGCTCCTATTCGCATTCCACTTTACAACTTGTAATAGCCGGAGGATATATACCGCAATCAAACGGTGTGTTTCCAAAGGTTTAATCAGGTGGATTTATACTTGTCACTTCGGGAACATCTTGACTCTTTTATGTATGCTTCAATGGAAATACTTAGGTGAGTCCATCAGAACGCTTTTCATTTTATCAGGGCGTTTTCTTTCTTTATCTCTTTACACTCCACGGGACTTTTTAAGCTTTACGTCTCACCCGTAATACACCATTGTTCCATGGGTCTACTGCACATTGTAGCCAGTAAGACATAGGTCACCTGTTCTGGTGTAGTGGTTGTGGTGCATCGGGTGAAGTGGAGAGCAAGACCAGTCAAACGTACCTACCTGCTGCGATTTTCAGTCAGCTGCTTGATCAACTGACAATATATTTCATCCCTTAATAGCTCTGAGGACAGCATGGGGCGGAAGATCCTATCCGTAAGGTAACATGGATCTTCAACCATTGCATTTTCGGGGTAGTTCGGTTGCAAATCTCCCATATACTGCATGATGGCGACAAAAGCAGACAGTGCACATTGCTGGGCATATCCTTGCGCAAATGTCATCTTTTGCAACAGTGGTTTCTGTAATGGCTCGTAGGTATGTCTCCATGAAGCACTGGTTGTCGATGTATCCGGTCGCCGGAAGGAATCGCTGCAGTGTACAAAAGGTTGCAGTTACACACAAATGTACCGATCAAATTTGTTAAAAGCTTGAATGTCTAAAGGGCACAACACTTCACCTACTGCCTGTAGCAAAATTGAGCGTGCAAGTGACCCGGTCTAAAAGAATGCATGTGATTTTCCAGGAAGCAACTGGCTTAAAGCGTCAGCAATGCGTTCACACAAATATGTTAAAACCATGCGGTTCAACGCCATCGTCACACAAACCGCGAAAAGGATTGCTCAGTAAACCTACTTCCGCATGTGTGTTATAAATGAGGGCGAATGAAACCAAACGGAATCATTCTTCACGAAGTAATTATTACTTTGGTTGTACAGGCATACGGACGTATGTGAACACACGCTTCCAGTTTCAAAAGATCCATGCTTACTGTTACACCATACAGTAGCAGATTCATTGCTTGCCTTTCGCAGAACCACCTATCAAACAAGCTTTTTCCGCGATGTTTATACTAGGTTTGGAATCAGTATTCAAGTGTAAAGTAAGGACAATGAAGAATGGGACGTGGATTACAACATGGATGTGATAAAAAAGGCCAACTAATATTTGCAACGAGTACGCGGTACAGACCCAAGCGATTTCATGCCGGCAAGACGATATCGCGGTGACTACACGCGGGGGGGCTGTATAGAAATGAATTGCTATTTACGCTGTTGGGCTATGTAGCTCCATCCCAATCTAATAAGTTTACTCACGTATTGCACTCACTGTGTTACTATAGGATAAAGAGCGGGAAAAAAGTTCTGAATCACTCGCTTACTTAGAGAGCAGTTTTAGGCTGCATTACAATTGCTAGTCAAAGGTCTACCACTTCAGAATCGCGCCACTTTCTCAAAGAGCTTCAGAACGGGGAACAAACAGACCATGCTGGACCGCATGATTAACAAAGATTAAATTATACTTGACACAATAACCGTTAGTAACCCCTTGGAGCGCAGCGATAAAGCAATGTTACTTTTCCGCTGCGTCTGTTAAGCCGAACACTACAACGGAGAATTCGAAAAGGTCCGCATCATAACGTGCAACAACATTCTGTCCGACAAAGCAATTTAATTGATTGGTTGTTTTTAGAACCAACATACTCCGATGTCGTTTGGGGAAGTTCAACGACCAGTTCAGCACTTAAGTAACAAACTCAGTAAACACTAATATCCCTCGCTCAGAAAAGTAACGTACTTACTGAGGAGTAGGATGCGGAAGCGAATGACCTTGATGGATTCGCTTTAGAAAGCATACAAAGCCAATGCAAAGACCAGAAAAAGGAATACTGACATAACGAGCTAAACTATTGTGCGAAGCTGGTGGACAAAGGCAAATCGAAACACCAGCTGAATCTCGCGAAGAACTTCTGCTGCAATCTCACGCTACTTTACGGGCATGTTACAAAACTCATCAAAATATGGTAAGGCATACTCCTCGAAACTGTCTGGGGACAAGTGCAGACTGGGCAAGAAGCAGTTAGCCGTCTTAGACATCAGTTCGCTTGCCCTTTCCAGAAAGCGCTGCAGTCTCATATTTTAACTCACTCAGATCGTCACAGCCAGGAAGTAGACAATCTCCTCCACCGCTGAATCGTCCGATGTTAAAACGAGAGCACAGTTTACGTGGTCCGGACAACACGCACTCCGACTCATGGAAGCTGGATACTATGAGTCTGGCTGAAATGTGATCTCACTTACTGCAAAGCTGTCTCCATGAGATGCAGGTTTCAACTATGTGGAAATTTGGAATGGTCACCTCATTAAAAAGAGTGAAACCTTGTTGTACCCGAAAGCTACCGCCCGACTACACGTCTTCCTGTGCTGGCTAAAGCGATGGAACCTGTAGTTGCGGAAAAGCTCATGTGATATTCGGTATCGTGCAATGTCCTAGTGTAGAAGCGTAAGCTTTCCGACAAAACCGCTCAAATATCGCAAACTTGTTTTAACCCGTGCCACCTGGACGGAATCTGTTGACGTTGGGAAAGGAATCCACCCTGCCTACCTCGATTTAGCAAAATATTTGATCTCCTAGGCTACCGCATTCTCCTTTACAAGCCTCGGAACTTTAATATCAGTGACCCGATCTTAGACTGGAAGCATCATTCAGATATTTCTTGGGACCAGTGAATTAGATCAGAGATTACGGTAGTTGGCCACTTGTCCCGCCCCCTCCATTTGTTGAGACAGACTGGTCCACCAGGCTTCCTTGTCTGCACGCACTCTCTGCTTTGATATGCGTCAAATAGTCCGTCTGATTACACTGTGCTCCGGGTCAGCCGAGAGTTTTATTCTAGACTCCAATAGGTGCACCAAGCACTCGGATATCCAGTGACTGGTAACAAGTGGCAATGTAGCACGCAGAACCTACCGAACCTTGCAAGTAAGTAGAGGCTTTATTCTACTTAGGCTCAGTGGCCTTAGAAAGATAGCGAACGTTCGGTACGTAGTGTACCCTCGTAGGCTCGCTTGACCAAGGACTGGGACAATTTCTCAGCTGCCAATCAAGGTATATAGTTAATACGCCTCTCGGTAAAGTTCACGGAAACTCGATAGCGTGCCAAGGCATGGTCAGACTAGACGCATGTCTTCCGATACGAACGACAATCCAGGATAGAATCACACCATCTATAATTTACAGCAACTAATCTTTACGAGTCCATCATTGTCCAGCTATCAGAGGACGCTAAGTAGCAATTCGGCGCCCACTATACATAAAAGAGATGCTACCAAGTAGCAACTGCTGATCCGCACACAATTGCAACATACGCTCGCCGTTGTCCGTCTGTTCTGAGTTAAGCCCATGATTACTGCGTAGCTGAGCTTCTGAGAAGCTTAGACGACCTAATTGCGCATTCACATCCGCTGCAAGAACTACGGCATCTGAAATGGTATCATTGCGAAGTAGTCTGTTCAGTTCGGGGTAGAAGGAGTCCTTGGCAGAACCAGAACTGCAGTCGCTGAACACATAAGGGGAAAGCACAATTAAAAAGCGTCTAGTACTAATGCATGGACCAACCTTAGTATATGTCATTAAAAAGACTACACACAAACGGCTGCTCACCCAAGCTTGATCCCGTGCTTGTCGCGTCAGTGGCTCCGGACGAGTGTTACCAATAACGAGAGAACAAGTAGGACACAGTTAATACCACAGCCCAGTGAGGGTCATTGATCCTAGATGCGGACACACAACACACGTCTATCCCAAGCGTGTCCAACGTGCGTGCGAGCGCAGCTCGTTGACGTATTCGGCTTAGAGTGCGACCGTTGGACGCTGCCAGGGAAACTTAGCAGCGTGGAATTATAACGGGTGGTTGCGACAGGCGTCTAGTGGGTAACGCAGGAAGATTTTTGCAGATGGTGTGAATTCAGTGGAATTGCGAATGCCGTCAAATAAGCTGGGAATTATGGAAGGAAGACTAGTAATAGGCACTGGGAGTGAAATAAGAGAAACAGGCGGAAAGGAACGAAAGGCGGCGCCGGCAGTAGCATGTTTTCGCTTATCCGCCCTACCAAATGCAGGATGTGGTTGAGGTTTCATGAAATTTTCATGGCTGTACATCGGCTGAGATACAGCATGGGCGCACAAACCTAGGCAGGTGGGCGATTGAGGTCCTCAACCAAAGCTTTTGTCTCAAAAACCTGTCCGAAGGGAAGCGCGATGGTATCAAGTTTTGGTATAACAACAATGGGCGGCATTCTATTTCCAACACTCAATCTAAAAGACCAAGTGACTGAGTTTTCCAGAGCATCTTGGTCGGACAAACTCCCAAGTAGTCCGGATGCACCATCCATCATCGCTCAATGAGTCAAAGTGGTACACAAACTGTCGCATCATTTTAAGATCCAGGCTGGGTGCGAAGGTGTGTACTTCCCACATGCGACAACAGAAATCTGCTCTTAGCCGTTGGAATAGTAGGGACAATGACCCGCAGCCCGTAATAATTAGAAAGATTCTAGACGCCCGCTCAAGATAGAAAGGATGGCTTGTTAGCTCTAACCGTACGCCAAATGTTGTGTGCACCCCGAGGTGAGTTCAAAGAAAGTGTGCTGAATATAACTGAAACACGCGACGTACTTGTTTACCTATGTCTACAACATCTTGTAATGTCATAACATACGCTTCGCCAGATTCTGCTGGTATGCCATTTTGTCAATGCGGACAATTGGAGAACTGTGGTTACGTTGAGTCACGTAAGTCATCCAGCTTTTCATTCTCGGCGAGCCAACATAGATATATCAGGTCGAGTTTCGTACGGCATTAAACAAGTGTGTTCTGTTTCGTACAAAAGCGACCGCGTTTCTCGTGTGAACAGCTATAGTTTCCGATGCTTCCTCAACCAGAGGATGCAATCGGCAGACAAAGGTTGCCATGCGCAAGCCGGTACAGTTGGTTTTCTCGCCATGTGGTAACGTATACCTGATGTCGTTACCTTGGAATTTTCCACCGGGTATGCAGCATAAAAGATGCAATCGAAGTGAAAGAACACATCATGAATGCTGCCCAAAGGGACATAGACAATCAACCCTCGATTATTAGTTAATCGTTCGCAAACCCCTAGTAAACTACTGAATAAATATCAACTTATCTGTATCGACTAGAACTATCAACACTTTGTATTAATAGTGCAGTCGAAACGGTCCTGGCATTCGCAATAAGAAGGGTGATAAAAAGAACTACGGAGTTATTCGCGTTTCTGGGAATTTAAAAACAAACGCTATAGAGTAATAGGCGAAGAAGGATGACAGTTTAAAATGAAATTATCTCCGTTTTTCCGTCTTATTGCCAAATAAGCCCAACCGCTACAAATTTCTCAGCCATTTACCTCCATAATGCAGTCGAAATGATCCTTAAGTCAGCCAGCACCCTCCGTTAGGCTACTCGATATAGTCCATGACGCATTCAAATCGCATGCAGCTGGACGAGCTGTATTTAGAAATTGACAATGCTGAGCAACCAGTATTCACAAAGATCCGTAGACCAGTAAGCCAACCACATGAAAGGACAGAGTCATGAATGGTGACCGGTCTAACGCTGAACGACCGTCGTGCGTATGTGCAACACAATCACATGACAGCGCGGTCACGAATGCCAACGATCTAGCTGTGAACGACTATCAGGAGCGAGAGCGTCTAACACTCTCTCACTTAGGGACGCAGTCCAAGCTACCGTTTGATCTCATAAGCAGGATTATGCTAACCAACATAAAGAAGAGAGTGATATCGAGCGCAACAGAATATCGCCAATGTGCTTCATTTACCAATATACTAGATTCGGTTAAATGCCACATTGGTGACGATTCCTCAGGTATATCTGCAAGTGGCCTCAGACGAATCTCGCTGCTCAAACTTAACCGAAATAAACAGCTCCTGGGTGCAATGACATAGTCACAAACGTAAGGTTAGGTAAGGCATCTGACAGGTGAGTGATTGCAGTCTAGCATGTTCCTTGCAAATGAGTTGTTATGCCGTCAGCTCATTCGGTTTTTGTACATGCTGCAGAGACACCCATACACATATACACGCACACACATGGAAACAGCTAGCACACCTTCAGTAGTTCTTTGAAAAAAGTATTAACTTATACCCCGCTGCTCTCGTAGGATTAGAGATGGAGGCAGCTGGGGGACCACTTTTCGCCAGCAGGTAAAAGTGTAGGCTGGATAAATGGGCGATGACTGGATACGCCTATGCTAGGGGGCAAAAGTGGAGCAAAAGATCGGATTGCTAGTGTGACATTGAGGCTACTTTTGACTAGACGTCTGATGCTGCTACGTCGGGTGATGCGAAGCCGCTGGTATGGAATCATGTATCACGTGTTGTGGTACTGTTGGTTTTGCGATTATTCGTATCTGAGGTCGGACATAATCAGCTGGATTACGCGTGGGAATTGGGAGACCGATATCCAGTGAATCGCGGGGCGTACAGTGCATTTGAAATATATCTAGGGCTTCTAACTCAGGAATTCCGTCAGAGATATTAAGGACAAAGACCGGCCTGGAAGTAGCTGATACCTTTTGCTCTCCTACGTGGCTCGGGTTTACCCTGGTGTCGTCATAACTTCGCCTGCATTTGGGGCTGTTCGAGGTAGGTTTCACGGTGCGACTTTGGTCTTTACTGATTCTTGATGAGCAAGCTGTTGCTATGACATCAGTGGGCGTTGTGTAAGTGCTAGTTTGCACGATGGTGCACACTTCGGCTGTGCGATAGACTTCTGCTCATTTGGAAGCTTGCGTCAATCACAGTCACCCAAGTCTCCTTATTTTAGGCCTGGTTTTAGGCCTTTTCCCGCCAGGTATTTCCCGTTATCGACGCATCATTTGACACACATTCCGGAAAACGCTTCTCATTGGGTTCTTCATGCGCGTCGATGTGTATCTCGGGACCCAGCTTGAGTGTACAACGGTTGGTTACGGTCGAAATCGGCGAAGCCACATATAATATGTGTAGCGCGTCAATGTTACATTAGATAGTCAATAGGTGAAATGTCGTCCAGTTTAGCGTAGAATGCATTGTCATTTACTTCTTTCTTTACCTTCCAACTTCGTCTTCGGTTTAGTTAAAGCAATCACATCTTGTGTGTGATTTCATCATCCATCCACACACCTCAAACTCGGACCTCCATCGCGAGCTGTGACAACGCCGTCTAGCCCGGCAAGAGGAGCAAGTAAGGCGCACCCTCCATCTACTTCCGACTCATACTAGGTAGTTGTGATGAAACTGTCCAGTTGTCTAGGAAGTATCTGTATAACCCTTCACCCCTTCAGTCAATGTGGACTCAAAGTACGCCAGGACAAAGAAGCCCTTAGAACCCTCCACCGGACGCATATTACACAAGGCGAGCGATTCGCCGAAACTAAGCTACATAGATGTTCGCGCAAACATAAGAAGTGCTTTCGGTTTAAAGTCAGTAGGTGACTAACGTCCCCATTGAAGAAATTAAATTACCCCTATAATTCCGTCTGAAGATCTCATCTCTTGGTAGTGCTTGTTTTCGCCATCATTCACTAGGTCGTTCTGTGTACCTCGATGACTCCATCCACTGCACTGCAAGCTGCTGCATTTCGGTGTTCGGAAGTTTGTTGTTGGATCAAACTGAACTAGTAACTATGAACCATCAGGCTACTTAAAGTTTATAAGACAACTTTAATGTATGCTTAAAAAGTGAAACATATGTTTATTCCTACCTCCTGCCCAATGCGCTTATTCCACCAGATTCAACTAGCCGAACTGATGGGCAGGATATTAGTGTTGAGCTACTCGAGCTACAAACGCCCCATTGCACTAGGGTCATGTGGAACCACACATAAGCGTGAGCAGAAGTGCTCCAGTTCCAACAGATGATCCCCTATCTGATCGCTCTTGTGCTAAACATTTGCCACTGTCAACAAAAGTGATAACAGTAATTTCAGTAGAGCCCGTAATTCTTCCCAGTTCTCCCAATTCTCTCGTAGCTGAGAAGCAGTCAACACATTTGGGTCACACGAGCGACAGTTTCGTCATCATACTGGGTGCCATGAGAGGATTTATACGCTTGTGTTACACAAGCTCACTGTTTATCGAAATCCGTCACCATTGCTTACTGTCCTATGCCCCGAACTCAAGAAACCAATACATATTTACACACGAAAAGGGTTTTCTCCGCTGCCACCAGTAAGGCTGTCTAAATTCATTGGGATGACAAGTTGGCTAATGCACCAGTAAGGAAGCAAGTGCTGCAATTTGAGAGCAATAATACATTCTTTCGAAGAAAGTAGAAGCCACGATTAAAATTCACGCACAATAATATGCCTCGACTGGGAGTCGAACCCCGGTCCACGAATTTCCGGTCCGTTGCTCTACCACCTGAGCTACCGAGGGCTGACGATTAGGTGCGCAAATTTTAACACATGTCTTCTGCTTGGTGCGCGACGTGTTGCCAATAAGCTCACAGTACCTGTCCTGATGTTGCAGATTGGCTCACTCACCCGTCACTTCCCAATAGACCGAAGTTCCTGTCCTTCAGACGTCCAATGGGCGATGGTAGATTAATCTAAGTTGCACTCAGAGTCACTGATGCCATTGTTACTCACAGCAAATCGGAGTCAGTAGAAGACAATAAATAGAGAAAGTGTTTTTTGAGCCCAACGTCCTGTTCCACTTTCTGAAAGGTTGAAGTCAAATGGACCCGGTTTCTCATTCGGGACGTGCGAGTTGCGAGTAGATGGGAATGGTAGAATTTCAAAAAGTTGAGAGAGTGAAGGTGTTACTGACCCAACCCGAGGAATGCACCGCACAAACATTCCCGCACTGTAGCGCAGCCCACCTTAAGCTATCCTATTACTCTGTCTCTAATCCGTTAAAGCAAATAAACCTCTTTAGCCACCGGGATTAGTACAGTTAGGGCAGGTGGGCGTAACATTAGTTGTACTCCAATGGGAGGACCCGCAAATTTTATTTTCGATCTAACTCTTTTATGCATATGTTGGAAATGACATCTTTGAGCGTATGCCTAAACCAACAGTAGTACGATGGGTAGAAATAGCTAATGAAGTTACTATGCCAAAAATCCTCACAGAAGAGCGGCAGATTTGCTCAATCATAAAAACTTTGCAAAAATATGTAAAAAGAAAACATCAGCTCACCTGAAGTGCTTAGAAGCGAAATCTTTTAAGGTGTGCTGGTAGTTGCGCTTTGGTCTTTTAGGTCCAACAGTGTTTTTTCTCAGGGACGCACATCGCTTGGCAAGCTGCACATTGTTGTTGATCAGTCTTGGTAATTGGCGTCCAGAGTTAGCGTTCACTGTTTGGATGCTTCTAACATCCCCTTCAAAGGACTCACGACACAGAGAATGTGCGACGGAAAATAACGATGTCACGTTCGTTGTCGGTGCAGTTAGACAAGGTAGCACGTAAATGTATTTTGCTGGGAACCCACCAACCTCCTTCGTTCTGTGATTTTCCCCATAGCACCAGCCGCTTTCGCCGCCCAACTGAATTAAGTGTTCTTGCAGGTAAGGGAATGGCGATATAGATGCGCATGGCTCCGGATTAGTCAAGAGCGAGTCTGACGGATAGTCGTGAGGCCGGGTTCCTTTTCGTTTGTGCAACACGATTAGATCGCCATATCGAAATGCCAGACCGCTGCCAGCTGCAGATCAGTAAAAAGATGCTTGTTCTGTAGCATGAGCCTAACAGCTATGTGGCACTTATGCAGGTCCGAAAGAAAATGAGTGGATAGACTCGAAATGAAGACAAAACTCCGCATGACAACATACGCTACTACTAGCTCATTATAACCTTTGAGGTTAGAACAAATATTTGAGTCCTTATTTAGTTCATCAGAATTGTTGTACGAAATACCAAAAATCTTGACGTTAGCTAGGTGGGTCGGTTTAACCACTTTCAGCAAATGGTTTCGTTGGAAAGGACATCACTGTACGAAGCTGCCAAAGTCCATTTAACTACAACGCGATTTGCCGGATGTGACAAGTCACTAACAAAACTAACAATCACTTACGTATCCGGATACTATCATTCATTTCGCAGCCGTTAGATATCCACTGCAAGCATTTCTTTCACCCATTCCCACACTGTCGATTCGACCGAATACGATAAAAATGCAACGAAACGTATACACAAGCAAGCAACCCAGTTGCATATATATATATATATATATATATATATTTAACGGCGGGAGAGAATATGGTGCGCTGAGGCTCGTAGTGGTTAGATACTCACAAATGGTCAACCCAGTGCTGCTACTGTTGTGCCATTTGCTCATGTCCTGGGCGCCTCCTCGTGGCGACCGCTGGGTGGGATTTGGGTTTCACCCTCCTCCCTGCTAAGAACCAGGACACCAATCCGCATGAGTCAGTGAACTGACCATGTGCTAGCCCCACTGCCTTTCGGGTGTTCATTTAATCGAAGGCTTTGGCGGAGGACCCGAGTCGTTCCCCTGTCAGAAGCTGGCGCCCTGGCAGTATCCTAGTCAATCCTCTTCAGAGATTAGGAAGTCGTCGACGGCCCACTTCCCGTAAAACCTAGCCATGGGTGACAAGAGGTATACGTGTTATTGCATCACAGCTGGATTGGCGTAGAGCACGAGAGCCACGCATTGTCTCTGACGGTGGGATGACAACTCGGGGGTGTTCATTGGTTAACTACTGCCCGCTTCAAGCCAGTCAGCCCCTGGACAAATTGGTGCAAACCCGCCAAAACCCACCTGCACCTGGCAGTGGTCGCAGGTGCGTATCCCACTACTGTCGCAAAATATACATAAAAGGTTCCACTACATTAAAGGCCTTCAAGCAGATCCCAATCTGTCTCTGCAATCACATTCTTGAGCTGAATCTGCTCCCCACTGCCTTGTGGGTCAGCCTATGGAGCCAAAGTCTCCGGGCGGAGTCCCTCAAGCAAAACTCCAATCCACCCACTGCGTTGTGGCGCAGGCTATTGAGCCAAAGGCTCCGTGTGGAGTCCCTCAAGCAAACCTCCGAAGCACAACGACCACGTCGCGTGCGATTACCCACCAACGCAATCGTATGCCTGCGCGCAAAGCACTCAGCATCGGGTGCTGGAACGTGCAAACACTACTGGACCGGAACTCCAGGAAGCGCCCTGAGCGACGCACTGCACTGGTCGCGATGGAGCTGGCGCGCTACAACATCGATATTGCGGCGCTCAGTGAAACCCGGCTCGCTGAGCAAGGTAAGTTGCATGAAGTAGGTGCTGGCTACACATTCTACTGGGTGGGAAACACCGCCTCAGCACCACGTGAACATGGGGTCGGATTAGCAATATCCGATCGCCTCCATAGCCAGCTGGTGGGTGAACCAACAGGCATCAGCGCGCGACTGATGACTGTTCGCCTACGACTCGGAAGAGGTAAGTTTGCTACTTTTATAAACACGTACGGTCCGATCATGTGTTATCCTGATGACACGCGTGATCAGTTCTACACTGAGCTATCCTCCGTGATACGGTCTGTGCCGAGGAGCGACCGACTATTTCTGCTGGGTGATTTCAACGCGCGCGTTGGGTGTGATGCATCAGCGTGGACAGATGTTATCGGTGCGCATGGCATTGGCCCAGCGAATGCGAACGGTGAAAGTCCGCTCTCACTGTGGGCCACTCACTGCCTGACGATCACGAACACTCGGTTTGCACTAAGTGCGAGTGATATGGCAACTTGGATGCACCCACGGAGTGGTCACGCTCACCTGCTCGACTATGTCCTTCTGCGTCAGCGTGATATGCGTGAAGTGCGCATGACACGTGTACTACGTGGAGCTGAGTGTGGCACTGATCACAAGTTGGTGTGGACCAAACTGTACATATATTTTCGTAAAGCAATGTATTGCACTCCCGCCGTGAATCGGCGTAAATATAACATTCGCTCCCTCGGTACTGGGGCGAAACGTAATGAGCTGGAGAAGGCGATGGCTGCACGCCTGTGTGATGTGGAATGCATAACCACAGTAGGCGATCTGTGGCACCACATTGGCGACCAGGTGACAGCTGCTGCCAAGCAGACCATCGGGCGCGCAAAATTTAAGCGGCCTGATTGGTTTGATGAGAACGCTGCGACGATCGGCGTATTGGTGTCGGAGAAGAATACAGCATTTGCTGCACATGTTGCAGACCCAAGTGACTGGGGGAAGAATAGTCAGTTTCGCAAACTTCGACGGCGACTGATCCGAGAGCTCCGTCGTATTAAAAATGCATGGTGGACGGAGAAGACGAAACAGATGGAATGCTACGCCGAACGCCGCCAACACAAGGAATTCCTTGACTCTTTGAACGCGGTGTATAGACCGAGGTTGGAGTCACTGAGGACACTGATCGATAATAGTTCAGGCGCTACCTGCACCCAGACTGCAGGCGTAATGCAGATCTGGCGGAAAAACTTTGACTGTCTCGTGAACAACCGTTCAGAGATCGACTGGCCCACGTTGAACTGCGTGAAGCAGACCCATGTGAAGCACAGTCTGGTGGACACGCAGACACTGGATGAGACGCAGAGAGCACTTGCTCAGTTGCGAAACGGCAAGTGTGCCGGAGCCGACGGGATCCCGCCTGGAGTTTTGAAACACGGCGGACCCGCTTTGGTGAATGTGCTGCACCACTTGGTGCAACGTGTTTGAATTGAGAAGAATGTGCTGCTGAGCTGAAGGATGTCCTTGTGCTACCACAGTACAAGGGGCAAAGTAGCAAGCAATGTTGCACGAATTATCGTGGCATCAACTTGCTGAGTTGTGTGGGCAAGGTGATTGCCCGAATCCTGCTCAAACGCCTCGTCAGTCAGGTTGCAGAACCTAACGTGGCCGAAGAGCAGTGTGGATTCCGTTCGGGTCGCAGCACTATAGATATGGTGTTTGCGGCTCGTCAGTTGCAGGAGAAGTGCAGAGAACGACACCAGCAAATGTACTCGCTTTTTGTTGATTTCATCAAGGCATTTGATACGGTGAACCGCGAGGCATTGTGGCTGGTGTTGGGTAAGTTTGGTTGCCCGCGTAATTTTGTAAGTTTAATTGAATGTCTGCACAGTGGTATGCGAGCGAGGGTGCAGCTGAGTGGAGAGACTTCGCATGACTTTGCAGTTGTCACTGGTGTGAAGCAAGGCTGTGTCTTAGCTCCTACCCTCTTTAATATATATCTTCATGCAATGATATCTTGTGCTTTTGATGCGGCTTGTGTTTACGATGTTCGTTTAGAGCACCGTATTGATGGTGGTTCGCTGAACATCTGTCGTTTCGGTGGGAGAACCCTAGTGCGTGCGACAATTATCCGTATGTTTCGGTTTGCTGACGAATGTGCGTTGTTTGCAGACAGCGCGGATGAGTTGCAGCACATGACAAGTGCTCTGGCTTCGACGACGGCAAAATTCGGGCTCACCATCAACACAAGCAAAACTGTCTGTCTCTTTCAGTCTTCACCGGAGGTGCAAGCTTATGTATTGCGGCGAATCAGCATTGGTGCTGAAGTAATGGAAACCACCTCCCGCTTCAACTACCTTGGGAGTGTGATGTGGACTGATCAGCAACTACACAGTGAGCTGCGTATCCGCGTGTCCAAGGCAGCGGCGGCATTTGGGAAGCTAGAGTACCGAGTGTGGAACAACCATCAGCTTACCATTGGTACGAAGCTGATGGTGTAAAAATCCATGGTGCTGTCCGTTCTTCGATACGGCAGTGAAACGTGGACGATGTACCGGCGGGATATGCGATTTCTGCGATGGATTTTGCGCATCACTTGGGGCGACAGAGTTGCAGAGACGGAGGTGTTGCGCCGAAGTGGGATGTATGCAGTGGACTGCATACTTTTATTGAGACACCTGAGGTGGATCGGTCATGTGTGGCATATGGATTCGACGCGGATACCGAAGCAGCTATTATATGGCCAGCTGAGTATTGGGAAGCGGCATGTGGGGAAACCAAAGTTACGTTACAAGGACATGATCAAAGTTAGCCTCTCACGTACTAAACTTGATTGCAGGTCATAGGAATCGAAAGCGGTAAATCGGTGCGTATGGCGCGATCTAATCACGAAAGCAGTTGCTGAGGTACAGAAGAAAGCCCTCATGCATGCAGAGAAGAAGCGGCAGTTGTGGAAGCGGCAAGCACCGATGGGTTGTTGTCCATCGACATCAAGCGCATCGTGCTGTAGAACATGCGGTTGCGAGTGCCTGAGTCAGGCAGGCCTAGTGAGCCATGAGCGAGGCCACTCGGGACCACTAATGAAGCGACGACGTGTCCTGCGGATACCGTAAGCAGAACCAGCGCAGCGTCTGTAGGTACGCCGCATTCAGTTTACTAACCGCGTGCTTGCATGCTAAGTCTCGTAATTTCAGGTGGTGGGTTTTCAATTTTGTCCTAATGCTTTTCTTTCTCATATAAATGTCCACTTGAATGTCCTTCTAGAAACTTGCACACGTCGCTTAAGCCAATTGTAGTAATTCCCATAGCATGTTCGTGTTTGTGGCATTTCCGTAAACTATACTTGATGACCTCTTGAACTTACCTCGGATTCTTTTGTAAACAACTTATTTCATATGCTGATTACAATTTGTCACTGCTTTCTTATGCATTATTCGATTTATTCACTTTGTTATCTTTCTCTCAAGTGATTGGCTGTTGCTTGATATTCCAG